TGATTTTATTTTTTCTAAAATTTAAGGTTGACAAATGGACTACTGCTTTTAAAGATCCACAATCTCTAATCCACAATTTAGAAATTCAAAAAGTTCTGAAAAACAAGTTTTTCCAGAACTTATATGGTGGTAAACTTGACCTAAATAATGAAGGGCTTTTTCGTTGTTTTTTCAGTGTGAAAATTCATAAATTTTACTACAGAGATATTAATGTGTTTGATTATAAGAGCACTACCCCAGACTCACTGATGATGGTACACTGATATACAGTATAGGCACCCTGTTAACTTTTTTAAATCTTGGGAAAAAAATTGAACTTCCAAACACATATGGCCCCAATGGTTTCAAACTAGGGACTGTGGACCTGTAATATATTCTAGGTGGAATCAAACACAGTAAATGTAAATCTAGTAGAGAGACGAGCTAAGACTCATGCAGTCTAAATCAGCTTTCCTATTATTTCCACACTTCAATTCCTTTGGCTTCAAAGTCAGCACTAGTAAACTGAAGAAACTGGACTTATACCTCTGAAGTTTTCTAGTTTTTTTTAAAAATACATTTTAATTAAAAGGTATCTCTGAAAATTCTTTTAAATACTGAATTGAACAAAACTGCTCCTATTTAAAACATTTGGGCCATATTTTCCCTCAAATATTTTCTATATAGAGCTAAAAACCTACTGACACAGAATGTACTCACCATTGAAGAGACTAAATAAAAAACACTTGACCATCTTCATGCCAAACACTAGGAAGAAAAGAGTGGTACCACAGAAAGAATGCCAACTTTGTATTTAGAAAATTTGGGTTCAAAACTTGGCTCTGCTTTAGCAGTTCTATGACCTTGAGTAACATATTTTTTTAAGCTTATTTTGTCATCTATTATGGGAATTAAAAAAAATCCTACATTACAGGGCTGTAACAAGGATAAAACAAGATAAAGTGAAAGCCTCTAGCAGAGTGCCTGACTCTGCATTTATTCTCACTAAATGTTTGTTCACTAAATTACTCTAAAAACCGCACTTTAAACATTGTATTAGTATAATTCTCAGCTTAATTCAATACAAGTATGTTGGGAAATGTTGAATATTTAAGTGTTGTTATAAAATTAACTCCCCCCATTATTCAGGGTTTGCAAATTATGAGATATCTTTGAGAGTAAAATCTATAGAAGAATCTATGTCTTTTTAGAGGAAATTGACATGTAAGTAATAAAATGAACAGATCCAAAGTTAATAAAATCACCCTTCTCTCTCTCTCTCTCTCACACACACACACATACACACACAGTGGGAGTAGAGAATAAGAAGAGATATAAGGAACCAAGCTCACCTATGACCACATTTACTAGGATACAAAACTTTTAAGTATCTTCCTGTGCATCCTTGGATCATAAATTTCAAGCTATCTCGAATTTTCAGGTTTCCAAGTTTTCCCTTTGAGGACTTTTTGAAACTAATTTTCTGCTAAGAGAGAGTATAAATTTTTAGCATCTAGAATCCCAAACAAAATTCTTTTTGAAAAGAAAGTAATCCAGGGCGGGCCCCGTGGCTTAGCGGTTAAGTGCTCCCATTCCGCTGCTGGCGGCCCGGGGTTCGGATCCCAGGCGTGCACCGACGCACCGCTTCTCCGGCCATGCTGAGGCCGCGTCCCACATACAGCAACTAGAAGGATGTGCAGCTATGACATACAACTATCTACTGGGGCTTTGGTGGAAAAATAAAAAAAAAAAATTAAAAAAAAAAAAAAAGAAAGTAATCTTGGGAAAGCTGATAAATCTTAACATAATTATAAATATGACAAAAAAAAGTAATTTTATATCAACCCATAAGAGCCTATGCTTTCACATCTAAACTTTCAATGTTAAAAGTTCCTTGCAATCTCAAGCACTAAACAAAAGAAGACAAGATACTGAGTACACTTTACGTTGCAAAGAAAGGAGCAAACACATTGATCTGAGTGACTTGGATCATTTTCAACAAGGGAGGGGGATCTCTGGGGATTATACCAAGCTGAATTTCAAGAACCCTGGTTTCTAGTCTGGGCATGTCAGTAAATCTCTCTCTCAGCTTTCTTTCTCATCTTCTACAGTAATAGCATTTTCTTTCCTTCCTCACAAGGATAAGAGTCATGAAAGCACTTTGAAAACTTAAAAGTGCTATACACTATAATAATATCAATACTTATCAGGCAGAAGGCAAAGTGATTATTACGTGGAAAGAGGGAGGGTGAGGATGAGTAAGGACTGGGAATTAAGAAATCTAGGTTCTAGGTCCAATCTTGGCATCTACTACTGTGTGATGCAAGGCACTTCACTAGTCCAGGTCCCCATTAAGTCACTTGTAAAACGAATTTGCTTAAATTTCTTTCTAGCTCCAAGACTGTAATTTTATGCGATAAATTTGAATCCAAGGCCTAAAATATGTGAGCTCTCACTTATATACGAGTCAGTTACTGTAAAAGGTAAAGATAGCAATACTGTATGAACAAAACTACTTAGACATGTGTTGTGCACATGCCCATGGAAAACCCTGCTGCAGCTCATCAGTTCATCATTCCCTTCACTTGGATACTGGTGTCAAGCAGCCATTAGTACATTTTTAAAAAATCTTTTTTAAATGCTTAGGTTAATTTTAAAATGACAATTAATGATATTTTAATTTCATTTTAGTAAAAATGAAAACCAGAAAAACCTCAAAATTATGTATAGGCCTAAGGGCAGAAATATATCCCAAAAGAAGATGCACTGTCACTTATTTCCAACATATGCTTTCTTTTTTTGGCTTGTTTTTAAATAAGGCTGATCATTCTGATATCGGGTAAATGCCTATCATTAATTTTTTGTTAAATGCCCTCAGGTACATAGATTCTTCAATTACACTTTGAAACAAAAGCCCTTCTCTAAGACAGCACTTTTTTAATTGCAAAATTTAACAAACCACCAAACTCAAGTTTAATTATTTCTGCTTTATTATTGGTCATGAATATATTAAAGACTTAAAAAAATAGTTACAAAGAGACTTTATCACTAAAATTATAATCAGAACCAAGTTGCTTTGAAATTAGCAATTTGAAAGTGACCCAAAAAAGCCCACAATATATTAACTTCATCCTTCAATTAGGGGCAAATAAAGAGTTAAAATTATTTTAAATAACATACTGAGCAAGAAAAAAGTTGTGCAGAAATCCCAACGCCTCCAAAAAACTGATAGAATGTGCTTAATATATTTATCTCCACCTGCTGACATTAAAAAACCCAAGTTTTGAAGTAAAAGAAAAAGTTTTGTTCGTGTTCCAATATCTAAATCTGGGAACACAAATTCAGGCAATGAATATAAGAAAGTCACAACAATAAAATAAAAAAGACACCAAAATCTAGCGACTAGGTTGAGAAAAATAGTCTAATTTCACCACACAGTAATTTCCTTCCAGAAGACAAGATCCAATCCAGACGAAACAAATCTTTATTACCATATTGTCTATTTCAGCTGATCTTAAAGACATTATTCTACATAAATTGATGAGATACATCGATCAATTTTTATGCCAAAGAAAGTATGCATACTATAATCTGAAATATCTATTCAGACTCCTTGCCAAAAAGTCGACAAAACTCTCGCCGGTGGCGACGGTGAGTTAGAGACGCGGGTTGACATCAGAAGGCAGAAAAGCAGTCAGGTAGGTAGGTAGCACTCTCCTCCCGCCCACCCGGACCGCAGGAGTACGCGGTCCCATAACACCACCACTTGGGGACGGATGATCGGACGACAGATAGCCAGGAGACAGAATGGTGTACAACAAAACCCTTCCCGAGGTTCCAAACCTGGCTTTAGAGCTTTAGGTCAAAATACTTCCGTTTCTCACAAAAACTTGGAATGAAGAAGGGGAAGCAACAACCGTTAAAACATTTTAAAACTAAACCTTTACCTATGTATTCAGAAAACACTAAGCAAAGAGCCAATTCCTTACGTTGAAGGAGTCACGGACACTACAGTAAAAGTCGTATTTATTTGCAACAGCTCTCCTTTTCAAGGCCTCAGCAGATTGGATTAAGCCACACCCCTCCACAAATGGCACATTCCATACAATAGGCAGGAGGACCGCAAAGGGCGACTCCACCGTCCCCTGGGGAATAGCAAGCTTGTTGAAATTCTTAGCATCAAGTCTAATGCTAACTGAATCTAGCCCCTTTACTATTAAAGTCATTGGGGGGCGAGAGGGTTACAAAACCCCCTGCGCTGCGCGAGCGGAGAGGGAGCGGGAACGAGACCCACACGGGATTTGGGACGCGTTAACCAGCCCCTCCCCGGGGAAGGACATTTCCAGTCGGAGGGAACAGCGAACTGGGGGGGCGGTCAACCCGCTCAGACTGCAAGCTGGCGGAAAGGCCGCAGACCGCCTTTTCCAGGGCCCAGGCCGAACTCACTTCTGCGGGCGGGGAGAACAGGTCCCGCCCACGCGCGCCCGCCCCGAAGGCGGGCCCGCGGCGACCCCGAGGACGGAGGCGGGGCGGGTGGCGGCCGCCCCTCCCCCCTCGTGTGGAACACCCCGTCCGCGGGAGAGAGAGG